ACGATAATATTAAGTTGGTCATATTATGTAAGCGGTATAATATCACCTTCAATGTGCTTAAAATACAAAAATCCTGAGTAAGCCATGAAGATGGTCTGGCAGTGTATTAAAATAAATATAAGAATAAACGCAAGAAGCTTTAAAAAGTCCGGAAAGGCGAGAATTTACCCTAGATAATACGCCAACCCTCCAGAAAGCCTCACTGGGCCCGCATGGCGCTCGCTGACATTCAGCTCGGTCAAGTGGACGCAGAGAGGAACACCGGGACGAAGTAGCTAGTTTGCGTTCCCGCTCGGCGGAGAATTGGTATAGAACCGTACCATTAGGGAATCGGCAGTCCACTTGGCGAAACCGTATTCCAAAACTGCAGGAAGTCGAGCACTGGTTGATAGAAAAACGGAAGTTACTCGATGGGAGCGACTTGGTGGACTTGAGTCTAGCGCACTTACTTTGTTTAAATTCTTACTACTTTTGATGATCCCTGCTCAGTAGATGAGAAGTATATTAGAAAGTTTTCTGAACAAGAAGTTCCGCAAGAAAACTATGCATAGAGTCCATAAAAATTGACGAAACTGATGAATCATGATGACTGAAGTTCATAGCTCTAATGGGGCCACCTTTGACTCTGTAATTACCGTAAGCTAGACTAATGCATGAAGATGCAATACTAACTCCTAGAGAATAGGTTCTTTCATCATGCAAGAATGCATATCTGTCTAGATATTCCGATATTTTCATCAAAAGTTAAACTTTCTTAGCATCGGTAAATATTTGTAATCCTTTCAATGTATTTTCTTCTTATCGATGTTTATGCTTTTATTAGTTGGACACTTTTTATAATATTTTGCAATGGGAATTATGTGATCTTTAGTAATTGGCGTTATCTAGATTGCCTCCCGTATATTCACATCTCGAAGACAAATTCAGCCCTGTGGCTGATAGAAGTTCATTGTGCTCAAAAGTGCAGTTACAAAAAAACAAGTTGGAACATTGAAAATATGTCTAAATAGCCTTTCAAGGTAGTGCTTTAACGAAAAAGCTCAGGTCTGAGATTTCTGAAAAAGTTCCCACACCTTAAAGTACCACACTCTGGAGGCATATAAAGTTTGTACAGTTGGCGCTTCGTTTCACTGCAGTACATTAGTCCATTTAACCTACCGCAGACCAGAGGCCTTTGTACCAGAATGGACAGTCGTTCATCAGAGGGCAGGGACGTTCTTCATCTGGCTTTTGCTGGTCTTCACACATTGAGGGTTCCACCTCCCGTGTATCCGTCCTATTATCCGCTTCGAAGGAGCTATTTGCTGGAGAGGTAGCTGCAGATGTTGTTGGCTGTTGGGTAGATGTCTGCAAACATCGCACCCGTCGCTTCTGACGACCGACCTCGCAGGTTCCTTCGCACTTTAATAAAAAAAATACAAGGAGGTAGATTTATCTCGAATAGTATGCATTTTCGTAAGTAGCAAGTAGTAGTTAGTTGATAGAGGGGCGTTCGCGTTAGGGGACACAATCGCCCCGTCGTGGCTCAAGGCCCTTTCTCGTGTCCCGCCAACAGCCGCATAGAGGCTAGTATATTATAGGCAGCAAAGTATTACCAAAGACCAGGGAGATAAGAACGGCCGTTTCTGGCTTAAAAGCTGTCATCAGTCAGCCACAGCCAACCAGAGGCGTTGAAAGTCTCGATATTCGAGTCTATTGGTTACAATTCCACGCCCAACGGCTTCGCTGTTCCTTAAGGCCATCGATGAGCGCCCCACTATCACTGCTAATATACCCGATCGCAGTCGACGGGACACTGAGCACATGGCTCAGGGATTAGGGTTTTTGACGTTTAACCAACAAGTAGCGGCCTTCAGCCTCAGGGGTTCCAGCACTTGAAGTTAGGTATGGCTAAATAATGGCGGCTAATAAGCAAAAAGTGGCCACTCATGTTTCTATTGTCCTTGTTAGTAACGTCGGTGTACAAATTGTCATGAAGGAATAATCCAGGCAAACGTGTGGCACAATGATAAGACACCTATTTTCACCTTAAATTTTAAAAGTTGTCAACGGATACATTCTGTTTACTTACGTTATTTGTCGAGTGTAAGTTAAGAGAGTACTGCCCGGCTAGGAAATAAATATTAACAGCGTCGTTAGCGAGGGTTTTCAGACATTGGCTAAATGCGGCGGGATATGTTGTCAACTTCTGCGGGAGACTGAGTAAGGGATACGAAGATGTGTGAAGAATAAAGCATTATACGCAGCTAGTATTGCCGGCAAAGACGAGGGAGACTGGAATCGCCATTTCTGGTTTGTAGCCGTTGTCAGCCAGTCATAGCCAGCTCCAATTGGTGCATCACCGGAGGCTCGAACTAACTATCTTTTGATCAGAGATTATAAAGGTTACGAGATCGAGCCTCGGATGGTGCACAACTTGACTCTGGCTATGACGGGCTGACGACGGCTTATAAGCCAGAAATGACTATTCCAGCCTCCATTGTCTTGGCCAGAAATACTATCTGCTTTCATTACTCGCTACTACAGTTGATGTCAGAGCCCGAGGAATGAGGCCCAAGGCGAAGGCGGAGCGGGACAAGTGAGTCCCATTAGCGGTCAGTGAACGTGTGAATAAAGCATTGTCCTGCCACATCCTTATCCTTTGTTGACACCGCCCTGTTTTGCCGTAGAAAATGAAAAATAACGTGTACGTCATGACCTTGCCGTCCCCTACTGGTTCATTAGTGTTTAGGAAACTTGATGGAATTGTTAAAGCCCACTGCTCGCTAACTAACCGAGTTATTTTGATGGCACTTAAACTAGAAACCCGTTTTCAAGGGAAAATATAATCATAATGCAAGCAAACTGATATTATTTACGTGAAAGACCAATTTTATGTATTTAAATCAGGGCAAGGGACTTTTGCTTTACCTCGCCCCACTCTCCGATCTCCCAAAATACACACGGAGGACCTTTGCAGACCAGCCAGCGAGAAGGACGGATGAGTGAGCGACCTAAACAGATTTCATCCGGCAAGATTCTGGGTGGAGAATTGTCCGGTCTGCGCCGCGATGAGTCATCGGAATTTTCCTCGGCGAGAACACAGCTCACATTGCGCTGTTGATAACCGATTCCGCAGTCTGCTGAACACTGAAATATGCAAGGTCTGAATTTAGCACCTGATTTACAACACTAGCAAGTTTTTAAACAACACACTCTCCAGAGTTCGAATTTATTCTACGCAGTGCTCCTTTGTCCCCCAAATGAAAGTTGCTTTGAGCTGTTTTATATTCCCAGCCGAAAATACCAAACGAAACTAAACACTAAGTCACACACGGGAGCTGATCAGTCAAACGCTATGCGGCTGTGTTATTTAAGGGCAGAAACAAATCGAAGCAGGTGTTTGAGGTTTAAAGTATTGCCTGTGCTGTCATTGTGGTGAATCACACAAAGTTTTTTTGTTCTGCAAAAAATCTGTGAATAAAATATCACAACTGTTGGAGAAGGGGAAACATTTGTATAGCATACAGGTAGACAAATACCGAATGAATGCCCCTGGACTGAAGTGAATGTTTATTTACAACTGTGGTGATCACCGGAAGAATCCATCAAGCGTAATGTTTAGGCGGCAGAAATGAGAAAAGATAATGGTCAAATGATCAACAATTGCTTATTCAGTTGGGTCAACTGAGTTACGTTAGGGGTTGGTGAACGTTTATCAATGAGTGTCAAGATCTCTCGACTTAAACCGGCAAGATAGCGAGCTCGCGGCTCAGTCGTTAGAACGTTAGACGCTGATCAAAGAGGTTGCGATTTCGAGCCCCGGGTGGCGCACCACTTGGGGCTGAGTATGAATGGCTAACGACGGCTAATAAGCCAGTAATGACAATTCGAGTTTCTCTTGCCTTTGCCGGCAATAATATCATGCTATTTGGCTTTGGATTACACACTACTACTGATGAGCCATCTAAAAGTGCGAATTCCGAGGTCAGTCAAATTTCAGATTCATTAGGCATAGAAAGCATCAGTAATTTCATGTTTTTTTTCATAAGAGCATCACGCTATATTGGATATTTCTAAAGATTCGAAAGAATGACATAATCGACACACACTCAGAGGCGAATTTCAGGAAACAGTCGACCAGGAGGTACTGGAACACTGAAAAGAATAATGCTATTCACCTGACACGTTGGATTCACTTTCGAACTGTTAACTGGAGCAAAGGCTAAGGAGGTGCAGTAGTTATTTACCACGTTTATAAAACCCACGGTATCGTATTCTCCGCAGATTTTCTTATATGATGTGGTAATGGTTTGACCGTGATCTTATGGCAGGTACTGGCGTGAAAATTTTCCCGTCTTTAGACTCGCATCACTGCTGTTAGAAGCAACATTCATCATCGGGCTATCCATGTGTTTTAATAAATCAGCGCGCCCAAGGTCTGAGATCTGAATTGACAGGTCGAAAGGATTACCTATGCCAGCAAACCGCGGACTTGGGAAACATAAATCCAGGCAGTGTGCGATTCACGTGGTTTTATATCTCTCTCAAGGACTCCTACTTCGTCGAATTGTAAGGTTTTTGTGGGTCCCCTTGAGTGATTCGTGACTTGAAAGTTTGTGCAGTGCTTTATCTCTCATTGTGTTTAGCCGGAAATCATTGGTCATATTTGCTATACACGGACCTTAGAACACCCAGACGATGTTTATAGTCATCAGCCGCCATCGTAAGCAACTCGGAGATATGGGTGCAGAAAGGCTGGTAGCAAAGCTCCATGAACTGAAAACAAGGGGCCTGTTGCTATGCTTAGAATCCTTTAGGCTCGTTTACTGGAGATGTCGTACATGCTAACAACGAAACCAAGTACAAAGGCCTTTGGTGGATGTGGAAGCTACGAATTTTAGCAGGCGTGAATTCGCTGAGAAGCCATTCTCCAAGCACTTACTCCCGGTGCGCACGCCACTATTAATGATGGATGTGAAGAAAAATCCAAGAAACTGCCGCTTCAGATATCGAGTCTCCATTTTCTCATGGTAGTATCCTTTAAAACCTGCTCCAGTCTAACAGCTAGTATAAATTTTATGGCGAATTATGCGCCATGGTTTAATTTTTAGTGGAAGTTTCAGGCGAATGCAAATCGACAACGAAACGAGCAACTTTCTTCCCATCTGCCGTTATTTTTTTTATGTAGCGGCAGTAATGTGAACTGTTGTAATCTAATTTATATCGCAACATTATGTATACGCGAGCCTATAATAGCACGTCGGAGAGGCTTTGTCTTCACTTGCAGGTTGGAAATAGAGGAGAAGAGGCATACCTTGCTCCATGAACCGGTTCTCCAAGTGGGCTTTAGGGAGGGGCAGGGTTTTAACAGACAGGGCAACCTGATGAGCTCTCCCGGTCTGTACGGCACAATCCGAGCCCCTGTGGGAAGTTGAGGAAGGCGAGGAATACTGTGATTTTCCAAGGAAAAAACGGTGGGCGTAAATTCAGGCAGAATCACGAGAGAGATGTTAGAGGCAATGTGACGACGGCAATCGTCCACCGAGACTTCGGTAACCCCAACATTGAATCCGTCGTCAGATGGGGTTTCCGAGGCCAAGAGCCGAACACGTTCACACGACAACTCCCCGACCTGCATTCCGGGTCCACAGTCCGCGGAGCACTGAAGATTATGAAGGGATCAAGAGAAGAAATATTTTTAAGATCCGACTTTTTTAAAACAGGCTTAGCAATTTAACTGCATTGCGAAAGGATGACACTCTACCAGAAAGCATACAGGACATGCTGGGGCACCCAATACTGAGCCGAAATGGAGATGCGATCGCTAGGACTAGACGTTTAGTGGTCTGACGTTTCGACTTCTCGCTTGAACTTCTCATCAAAAACAACCGGAGAAAGGGGTTGTCTGATGAGGATGAATTGTCTGTGATGACGGGTTCGGACGAGAATTCGAAACGTAAGGTCAATCAGCTTCTTGTTCCGGTGATCGCATGTTCTCCTTCTGATCTGTTTTCTAGAACTCACCTGTTCGCTTTTATAGGTAAAAGGCTATAGATTGAAAACTCGGCTATCTACCAGAAAACACACAGGGAATCCCCGTGGGACCTGCTGATGAGCCACATGCCTTGCAGCTGTGTGATACGGCTGCAGAATACTGACGAAGAACGCACCATAATTCTGTGTTCAGCAATTCACAGGAGGAAAATATAGCAATTAATATTTAACAGATAGCTAGAAGTCTGGGCTGACGATTTACCCTTTGGAATCTGACAGTCCCCCAGCGATAACAGATAGGATTCGGACAAGACTGGCTCCTATCAGGAGCGTTACCGCTGATTCGTTGGCAGTACGCATCGGGGACCCTCTCCTCGGAATCGTTGAGGCCGTTCCGCATCACACAATTGACCGTCCTGGTTTGGATACCCAGCAGCTTGTCCGGAAGATTCCATTCAGCGTCTTTGGCCTCCTTGACTGTGTGCAGGGATCTGGTAAAACTGGAACTACAAAACTCTTTTTGTAGATTTCCTGTTAGACGACAGTCGTTCCACGCGCTTACGGACCAGGTGAAGTTG